AAATGTTTGTGTGGCTCGATTTCTTTCATTATGACATTGAATAAATGTTTGTGTGGCTCATTTTTTCCTACTAAAGTTAAAGACGCTATCACCTCTAGACTTAGCCTTCGTCACAAGCTCTTCCGCAACCATATTTTCTAGATCGATGATACTTTTGTATAAGTACATGTTATGAGTTTTTTATAAGCTAAACCCGCATATATGTTCTTTGGTAAATCTACATTTCTGTAACAAATCCGCATAGCATTAGATGACAACACATTTGTTTTAACATTAGATGACAACACATTGCTAAGAGGACTTCCACATTTCGGTTCCTTTTAAAAACAACAAAAGCATTACAAAAAAAAAAAAAGCATTATGCATGTGATCCGCTCCGTTTAAAATGGATATCTGATTTTCTAATCCGATCTGTTAACTTTCGAATATCCGAAGGTTTTTAAGGCATCCGCGGATATCCGATTCAATTGGTAAAAAATTGAACATGCGAGTTTTTTTAAGATATTTGTAAATATCTGATCCGATCTGTTAACATTTTAATATATATTATTAATTTATTTTCGTTTAAACATCATTAAAATTAAATATTTAGTGAGAATGAGTGAATTCCAATACTCTCGATTGTATATCTATAATAAATAAATAAAAACTACTCATAAACATTTTACTTTATATATAAATATATCGATCGAATATTAGTTTTTCGTTAAATAGTATTTGTGATTTGCTTTGTTTTTAACGGATACCACATTTTAGTATTTGTTTTGCTTTGAAATTATATGGATATTTGAAGTTTTTGGTTCGGATCAGAGTGAATAGCGGATCGAATCGGATTTAACAGATTTTTTGCCCAGCCCTATTACGCTAGGGGAAAAACTGAACAAGGACCTCCCTCCATGCAAATAATATCAATCATATAAAGTTCTTGATTTACAGGCTGGCTCTAAATCTTTGTTTTTCAGTTATTTTATATTTTGAATGGATCTCATTATATAATCGACCTTTTTTGGCTAAGAAATTACTACAACAATGTCAAGAAAAAAAATACTACAACAAAAACTCATATACTTAAGATGTAAACTAAAATAATGCTAATGTGGTTGATTAGTTTAGTTATATAAAAC